AAAAAAAAAAAAAGAAAAGCAGAATCTGTGCCATGTCAGTGGCTCAAGTTTGTAATCCCAGCACTTTGGGATGCTGAGGTGAGGGGATTGCCTGAGCCCATGGGTTCGAGAACAGCCTGGGCAACTTGGCAAACCCTCATCTCTACAATAAATTAAAAAAAAAAAATTAGTGGTAGCGCACACCTGTAGTTCTGGCTACTTGGAAGGCTGAGGCGGAAGGATGGCCTGAGCCCAGTAGGTCAAGACTGTGGTGGCCGTGAGTGTGCCACTGTACTCCAAAAAAAAAAGGCAGAATTCCAGGCCCACCTGCCCTGCTACTGAACACAACCCCCCCCCCCATACTCTGGACGGCACTAAGGTGTGAGGCGCAGCAGTGCTGACTTCAGCCTTTCTGTGCCTTAGTCTCCTTATCTGTTAAAGGGGTGGTAAAAGCCTTCCCTGCTGGGCTGATGGGCTGATTAAGCCTGTAAATGTAGGGAAGCGCCTGGGGTGCCAGAAGCCTGTGGGCAGCGGACTCTTCCCCGCCCTCATGTGTGGTGACTCTCTGCAGCCGCCTGACCCCTCCTGTAGTGTAAACTAGTGCCCATGTCACCTGCCAGCACAATGCCCGCCCTGGCCTTCCCCAGTCAGACACCCATGGCAGCCTCAAGACACCCCCATTTTACAGAGCAGGCTTGGAGGGGTTCTTGCTTTACAGAGAATGAGCTGCCCAGCTTGAGCCAAGCCCAGTCCCTGGGCCCCTATCCTCCTGACCTCAAGGAAGTCTCTGAAGCAACCAAAATGGAGCCTCCTTAAGTGAACTCATTCCCACTAAGGTGTAAATGGCTGATGGCACAGCTGAAGCTGCCCTCTTTGGCTCCTAGGCTCCTTGATGTGGGTGGTGGGCTTTCAGGCCAGGAGGGCAGGAGAGCCGAAGGTGGGGGTCAACAGGGGCTCCGTGTGATTGGGTCCTGAGTCTCCAGATGGGGGTGGGCTGAGGAGGGCTGGAAGGCTGGAGCTGGGTGTCCTGCCGAGCTTCTACAACCTTCCAGCAGGAGCTGCAGAGCCTCTGGAAAATTCCCAGGCTATTTTGGCCCCTTTTCCCGTCAGCTCTCAGGGTGAGGGCCCCTCGGGCACACCCGTCCCAGGGGCAGGCGGCTTCCTGCGACCTCTCCGCCCAGGCTCCCTCTGCTGGGCACTCATCAAAGAGTGGGAGCGGCTGACTGGAGGAGAGGACACAGCCCAGCTACTTGCCTTCTATGACAGCCCTCCTAGCAGCCGCCTCCCCTGTAGCCCCCTACCCTGCCTACTCTGTCTCCAGAGCGTTTCCGGGCTGGCAGACTGTCTCTCCAGTTGTTTTATTAGCTGCTTGACCCTGTGCATGGACTGGACACGGTGTGCCTCAGTTTTCCCATCCGTGCAATGGGGATAGAATGAATTGTGATGTGTGTGAAGTGTCTCCATCTGGCTCTGGACACTGCTGTTGTGTTGTGGTGGCACATGTCTGCCCCTGGTCCCCACCATAAGCTCCATGAGGGCAGGAAATTGGGTGTCTTTGTGTTTCTTGCATATGGCGGGTGACTCAGTGATTGTTGGTCAAGAAAACCAGGGTTCACCAAGGTCCCCTGGTGGACATTCATCAAGGTCCTCAGGCCTGGGCATGTGTGTGTGTTGTGTGTGTGTGTGTCCAGGTGCACAGACAGCCAAGTGGTGGCCACCTGTGTGCACAAACACCCAGACACGGGCAGACGCAGATAGCGCACACATATAGACACACGAGCACATACCTGCCTGCATGTGCACAGGAACGGACATGCCCATATAGTCATGTGCACGCAGACACGCCCCATACACGTCCACATACATGCATACACACACCTGCATGCATGTACACACACAGCCCAGCAGTCATGCTGTGCCGTGGGTGTGACATTTGGTCTGAGTTTGTCACGGAGCCGGCAGGAGCCCCTGCTCCCGGTCTGTTTGCAGCCCCCCTCCTGCACTGTGGGCATTGAAGGCTCCTCTCAGGGAGTGGCCCTCCCTTCTGCAGGACTCCAAGGCCAGGCCTGGTGTGGCTGGGGAGCAGCAGCTGGAAGCAGGGACCGCGGTGGGCAGGCTGCTTGGGCCTCAGCCTTGTGCGGGTGGGGGTGCAGCGGTCGGGCCCCAGAACCGGCCCCAGGTGCCTGGCCCCCACCCCCAGCTGTTTTTCCTGTAGCTGGACTTTGACCCAGCCCTCCCCCGCTGCCCGGCCTTCTGGGAGTGGGCTGGCCCTACTCCAGGCCTGCTCTGACTGCCCCAGCTGCTCGACAGCCCAGATGGGCCGTGAGAGGCTGGCTGGGTAGTTAAGGCTCCTGGACTTCCCAGGTGGAACTGCCCCCCCCAGTCGTGTGTGCCCTATGCCTCAGTTTCTTCCACTGTCAGGGAAGCATGAAGGTAGCCCCCTCCTGTTGGACTGTGCCCAGGGGCGTGGCACACACCACATGCACCGTGAATGCCAGATGGACTGGGGTTCTAACACTGGTATGTATGTGTAAGGCCGGGTATGGTGGCCCATGCCTGTAGTCCCAGCACTTTGGAAGGCCAAGGAAGGAGGACTGCTTGAGGCTAGGAGTTTGAGACCAGCCTGGGCAACTTAGTGAGGCCCAGGCTCCTCAGAAACAAAAAGAATCCACCTTTGGGTCATCCCTGGACAGTTTGCGGGACCTGCTTTGCACCAGCCCCCGTGCTGGGCCCTCGGGATTAGAGGGACCTGTGCTCCGCTCAGCCTGTCACCCTGAAGGTCATGGGCTTCCATTGGTATCTCCGAGGGACCTGGTGCCCTTGGGGAATTGAGTGGGCTGGAGTGGAGAGCAAAGGAGGCCTCCATTCAGGCCTGAGTTCTCATCCCAGGGGGAGGTGGGCAGGGTCGGGGCGTGGGGCAGACAGGCAGGCAAGTGGTTATGAAGAAGGGAGACGCAAACGCCGATGACAATGACACACATCCTTCCGGGCAGGCTCCACCCTCCTTTCCCCTTCTCCTGCCTCTCGCCCCCCTCCCCCCAGTCTCCTCCTCCCTGGCCTTCGACACCGTCCTTGCCAGTCCCTGCCGGCTTGGAGGCCTTTGCATAGGTGCTCCTTGTACCTGGAACAGCCGCCTCTGTTTTTCCTTCTTTCTTTCTTTGGGTTGGAGTCACACTCTTGTCACCCAGGCTGGCGTGCGGTGGCACGCTCACGGCCACCGCAGCCTCGACCTGCTGGGCTCCAGCGATCCTTCCGCCTCAGCCTTCCAAGTAGCTGGAACTATGGACGCATGCCACCAGACCTGGCTAGTTTTTGTGATTTACTGTAGAGATGAGGTCTCATCAAGTTGCCCAGGCTAGTCTGGAACCCCCGGGCTCAGGCATTCCCAAAGGGCTGGGAGTACAGGCGGAGCCACCATGCCCTGCCTGCCTCTGTTTTTCAAATGGTTGCTTCTTTCTCATCATTCAAGGCCCACCTAGCACCAGAAGCGTCACCCCACTCTGCTACCTCTTAGCTCCTCCTGTTTCTTAACAGCCCTCGTGGCAGTAATGACCTTGCTTATGTGTTTGCTTACTTGTTTATCCTCTGGCTCCAAGTTCAGCCCTGAGACTCCTGGGCACATACCTGTTGAGTGACTTTACAATGACAATTATAACAGCGATCCTAGCTGACAATTACTGTTCACTTGTCCTGGGCAGATGGTGTGTCTAGTACTTAGTGTGTATTATTTTGTTTCAACTTCATGATGATGGTATACATTCGGGGTCATTATATTTCCCATTTTCTTTCTTTTTTTTTTTTTTTTTGAGTTGGAGTTTCACTCGGTCGCCCAGACCGGAGTGCAGTGGCCGCTCTCAGCCACCGCAGCCTCGACCTGCTGGCCCTGGTGATCCTTCCGCCTCAGCCTTCCGAGTAGCCGGAATTACAGGCGCGCGCTACCACGCCCGGCTAATTTTTTGATTTATTGTACAGATGAGGTCTCGCTGCAGAGGCGGGTCTCGAACCCGTGGGCTCAGGCAATCCACTCACCTCAGCCTCCCAAAGGCGCGGGATTACAGGCTGAGCCACCGAGCCCGGCGTGTTTCTCATTTCCTAGATGCAAATTAATCCAGAGAGATAAAGTAACTTGTCCAGGGCCACACAGCTGGAAAGAGGGAGGGAGACTTTGGTTGGAAGGAGGTCGGGCAGTACCCCATCACTCTGGTGTCACTAGGCCATTGCGGTCCCACCTGCCATCCTGGGAGGCCTGAGAGACCCTCTCTTCTTTGCGCTGGCCTCCTTCCCAGAACTCCTGGTGCTGAAACATTCTAGGACTCTATGACCTGCGCTGGTGGGTCATGCCAGAGCCCTGGCCCCAGGCCAGCAGCCGGCCTTCAGGAGGTGGGGGCTTCCTGGACTCACGGTCCCTGCTGGCCACGGCTGCAGCTGAGAAGGGTCAGGAGGTAGTGTGTCCCTTGGAAGTTTCAACTGGCTACCACCTGCCCAGCTGGACAGAACCGAGTCCTGACAGGGGAGTGTGGAGGGAGAGGGGTAGCCCTCTGGGTGGGCGGGGCCTTTCTCCAGGAATCTAACCTGGATCTGGGGTGGCTGGGGTCTGAGACCCCAGGCAGAGCAGACATTGCTGGGGACAAGATCAGAGAGCCCCAGAGATGGGGGTCAGGTGATAAACCAGGGATGGGTGTTGTTGGGGTTCTGGTTCTCTTTGAGAGTGGCTGGATATCTGGGCTCGGAGGCAGACTCCTGGGAGGTCCAGCCTTTCTTCATTCATTCAGTCAGAGTCTCACTCTGTCACCCAGGCTGGAGTGCAGTGGCACACTCATGGCCACCACAGCCTCACCCTGCTGGGCTCAGGCGATCCTTCCACCTCAAACTTCCAAGTAGTTGGAACTACAGACACACACCACCACGCCTGGCTAATTTTTTGATTTATTGTAGAGATGAGGTCTCGCCAAGTGGCCCAGGCGGGTCTTGAACCCGCGGGCTCAGGCAATCCACTCACCTCAGCCTCCCAAAGGCGCGGGATTACAGGCTGAGCCACCGAGCCCGGCTAATTTTTTTTATTGTAGAGATGAGGTCTTGGCATGTTGCCCAGGCTAGTCTTGAACTCCTGGGCTCAGAAAATCCTCTCACCTTGGGCTCCCAAAGTATTGGGATTACAGGCATGAGCCATTGTGCCTGACAGGTTAACCCTTTATTTTTATTTATTTTTTTTGAGTTGGAGTCTCACTCTGTCGCCCAGACTGGAGTGCAGTGGCATGCTCACGGCCACCACAGCCTTAACCTACTGGGCTCAGGTGATCTTTCTGCGTCAGCCTTCCAAGTAGCTGGAACCACAGGCATGTGCCACCATACCAGGCTAATTTTTCTTGATTTATTGTAGAGATGAGGTCTCACCAAGTTGCCCAGGCTGTTCTTGAACCCCTGGACTCAGGCAATCCTCTCGTGTTGGCCTCCCAAAGTGCTGGGATGATGGGTGTGAGCTATCACGCTTGGCCAGGTTCACCCTTTAAATGTGAAAGCCCCATGGGCGCGGCATCAAAGCCATCTGTCTGTCCCGCCTGCCTGCAGCCCCCTCCTGCTTCCCTCATGTCTCCACCACCAGCCCTGGCAGGGACTGAGGGACACGCACCCGGCCGTCCCACTCTGCAGATGTGAGACTGAGCTGGAGCCAGGAAGGACTCACCCAGGGCCTCTGACTGTGGGACTGTCGCGCCCCTCTGACCCTTGAGTGAGGTGTGTGGAGCCCACACCTTCCTGATCGCCGCTGTGTCTGTTCACTGTGTTGGTGTCCTGGCTCCTGGGCTTGGCTCCCTCCAGCTGGGTTCCGCCCACGTTTCCACACAGGCCAGGGGTCACTGAGGGAATCTGATTTCCTAGCAGCCACCAGGGCCTGGGCTGGGCTGGGGGGAACGTCACTGCAGGCATCTGCATTGCAGAGGGGCCTGATGGACATCAGCCTTGGAAATGCCGGGTCCCCTTGGGGTCCTGTGTCCCCGCCAGGCTGCCCTTTCCTGGCTGCGGGCTCATAACAGGCCCCGAGGCTCTCATTAGCCCTGTTCTGGAGACGCTTCAGGGTCTAGGCATGTCTGGGATGGCCGAGTCCAGATCTAGGTGGTAGCGCCGGAGCTCCCTGGCTGAGGGCTTTGTGCCGCTCTCCTGGCCTGCGTCCCACCAGGTCCGTGCCTGGCGCTGGGGACACGGGACTGATGGTTGTGGGAGAGGCCCGGCATTTTCTTTCATCTCCCCTCCCCTCCTCTCCCCTTCCCGTCTTTCTGTCTTTTTGATTTGGTGTCTCACTGTGACACCCAGGCTGAAGTGCAGTGACACAATCATGACTCACCTTAGCCTCCCGAGTAGCCGGGACTACAGGCACACACCACCAAGCCTGGCTGATTTTTCTGTGGAGTCAGTCTCACTCTGTTGCCCAGGCTGATCGTGAACTCCTGGGCTCAAGCGATTCTCCTGCCTCGGCCTCCCAAAGTGTTGGGATGACAGGCGTGAGCCACCGCACCCAGCCTGGCCTGGCATTTTTGTGCAGAGGTGTGATCAGGAGGCCGGCAGGAGCCCAGCGAAGGCGCCCGACCGGCCTGGCGGGTTCCTGGATAAGGCGACCTCGCTCTGAGGTCACCACGAGGAGTGAGTCTCAGATGTGGCCTCCCGGGCAGCGGGCCCACCTGGCCAGGCGCCAGCCCCTCAGAGCTCCTGTCTCCCTCCAGGTCAGCCATGTCATCTGAGCCACCCCCACCGGCGCAGCCCCCTGCCCAGCAGGCTTCTGGAGGCCTGCTGGACACCCCCCGGGCCCGTGAGCGCTCGCCGTCCCCTCTGCGGGGCAACGTGGTCCCGAGCCCGCTGCCCACACGCCGGACGAGGACCTTCTCAGCGTGAGTCTGGGGCCGGCTGTCAGGCAGGGAGGTGGGTCGGGCCGAGGCTGGGGGCGAGAAGCTGGGGAGGCACTGTCCGGACTCCTGAGGAGCCGCTGGGCCCGCAGGCCCTGCTGGAAGCCGCGCTGCCAGGGCGTCGCTGGGTCTGGAGTCCCGGACGGTAACTGCACATGGCCTCTTTCCCTGGGAGACCTCGGATTCCTCAGCTGCAAAACGGGACGGCACTGGGGCGCCCTGGGCCGCGGGACGCCTCCATGATGCCGGGCGGGCCCACTCTCAGCCCAGTGAGCAGAGGCTGCTGTGCGATTTCTGATTGATGGTCAGCTTCCGGGGCTTCTCAGAGATCTTTCAGCTCAAGCCCCTCTTTCTAGGTGGGGAAACAGGCCTGAGAACATTTGCCGGGTCACCCAGAGAATCGTTCTGACCAGCATCTGTGTGGATGGCTCCCAGCGTTGTGCCGTGCACGACCTGAAGGAGTGTACACGGTGGCCCTGGCCAGGGCTCCCCAGGGCACAGCGGTGGGCAGGAGCCAAGGTGGGCTGGGTGTGCCCCAGGAGAACAGTGGCCATCCTGGAGGCCTGCTGGGCCCCTCACACTCCTCTCTCTGTCAGGACGGTGCGAGCGTCGCAGGGCCCCATCTACCGAGGAGTCTGCAAATGCTTCTGCCGGTCCAAGGGCCACGGCTTCATCACCCCGGCTGATGGCGGCCCCGACATCTTCCTGCACATCTCTGAGTGAGTTGGTGGCAGGGCTGGGTGGCCTGGCTAGGGCGGACACTGCCTTGGCCATGTGGAGGTGGGGACGGAGGGACTGTGATGAGCACTGGGTGAGGATGGACGGCCGGGGCTGCTGACTGCCCGGGATGGCACGCCGACCATGCCCTGTCACTGCATGTGTTGGGATGGGGTTGAGACTGTACTGAGCTGTGACTGTGACTGGGTGAGTCTTTGTGAAGAGCTATGTGAGGTTTTTGTGTGTCCCACCATGGGTGCTGGGGGTGTCCAGCCAAGCTTGTAGGGGCCAGGGGGGTGGGGGGGTACGTGTGCATGGCTGAGTGTGGTGTGTGCACGGTTGAGTGTGCGTGTTGGGGTGTATGTGTATGGTTGAGTGTGTGTGTGCCTGGTTGAGTCTGCATGAGTGTGCGTGGTGTATGCATGCACGTGGTGTGTGTGTGGATGTGTATTTTGCATGTGTGTATGCATAGTTAAGTGTATGGCTGAGTGTGTGTACATGATTGTGTGTGTGCATGGTTGAGCGTCCAGGGTTGAGCGTGTGTACACGTGTGTGTGTACATGGTTGAGCGTGTGCATGGCTGAGTACGTGCGTGGTTGAGTGTGTGTGGTGTGTGCACATGGGTGAGCATGTATATGGGGTTGAGTGTGTGTGTGGTTGTGTGTGCCTGTGTGGTTGAGTGAGAGATTGCCTGGTGTGTGTACATGTGTGAGTGTGCATGGTGGAGTGTGTGCGTGGTAGAGCGTGTATGTATGCGTGTGCACCCTGGCCTGCTGGGTGGGTGCGGGGCCCTGTGTATCTGGCCCGTGGGGTGGGGACGGGCTCGGTGGGGGGCCAGCTTCCCACCCTGCTTGGGTTGGGGGTTCCCTGGCGGGGCCGGGGGCTCCCTTTGCTGCAGGAAGGAAGTGTGGGCGGGCCCTGCCTGCCGCCTCCCGCTCCCTGCCGCCCTTCCTTCCTTCCTGAGTGTCTGGAA